AGGGCCGCGACGGGTCGCGAAAGGGGGCCGCGAAGGGCCGCGACGGGTCACTAAAGGGGGGCCGAGGCGGGGCCGTGACAGGCTACGGGGCAGGGCCGGGGCGGGGCCACGACGAGGTCGTGACGAGGCCGCTGACAGGACCGCGACAGGCGACGGGGCAGGGCCGCGACGGGGCAGTGACGGGGCCGCGACGGGGTCGCGACGGGGCCTCTAAGGGGACCGCCAACAGGCCGCAAGGGGGCCGCGTAAGGCAGAGAAGGCCACTAGGGGGCCGCAAAGGGGCCACGTAGGGCAGAGCGCAAAGCGCGCTTTGGGCAGGTAGGTAAAAAAAAAACTTTTAATGGTGGGCCCTTGGGAAGGATCGAACCAGCTATATACCATGTGAGAGAATTGAGGAATGAAAAAGAGAAAAAGAGAGGGGTTTCACTAGCAAGCAGTTGAGTACATATAGCAAACCCTAAATTGGGCTGTACTCACTATTGAGTACCCCACTGCAGGCTAGACAAAACATAACATTCTGACAGTATGGTGGTGGCAGTGATAGTAGTCGAGGGGAATGGTGCGAGGTGGTTACGAAGCATAGTTTGATTGTAATGGTGGGAACATCATTGTGCGCGATATGGTTGATGACGCGAAGTAAGGAAAAGCTGTTTTCCTTACACTACTTCCTTCCCCAAACGAGGCCCTTACGAAAGTGTGTTGACATCTCAAAATTTTCTGCTGCGAAGGTAGTTTGTGAGGACTAGGTGGTTTTCAATTCTGTCCAGGGGTACACGGCTGAATTTTGGCGTGTTCGGTCTTTTCATTGTAGCAAGAACTCGATGCATCAGGCTCCACATGGATCACGAACTTGGTAGCTAAGGATGTTGTTGGATTCAATTATGGGTTCCGTATGGCTGCGTCATGCTCGATGGTCGGTTGCGTGAGAGCTGGCTCGTGCATATGATGTATGGGCGGAGGAGGCAGATGTGGAACAAGGGGCTGAGTACCAATTTGCAAGGAGGAGGAGGTATGTAGTGACGTGAGTGATCATGTGGCTAAGTTGGAATAGCCCGCAATATCTTGGGCATAATTTCACGGTCACTAGTAGGCGGAGGTATTGTGTATCGAGTAGTACTAGGTCTCTGGGTTGGTAGGTGATGGGGCGGGGGTGGCGATCGGCGTGTCTCTTAATGGTAAGGTTGGATTCTAAGTTGTGCCTGCTGCTCGGGTCCTGCATGCTTGTACTATAATATTTTGGCAAACTGTTGTGCGCGAAGGACGGGCTTGTCGATATTTGGCGTTATTGATATTATGGGGTAATGCCCGTAGTTGAGATAAACGGCAACAATTGGGTGGTGGCAGATAGTGAGTTGTTGTATGCTAATTTAATCAGTGGCTTCTGCTGTTCTCAGGTTGCTGGGTCATCACGCATGGCACGAAATCAATTGTTCCATTGTCTGGCTGGTTCGCTTGGCTTTTCTACCAGTTTCAAGGTGGTACAAGGAGCTGAACTATAGTCGAGTACCGAATTGTTGCCACAAGTTCCTCCAGAAGTTACTTGTAGATTCCGTAGTTGCTGTCGCTCATGTTTGCCGCTGGTATCCCATATAGGCGAATAACGTTGGCGATGAAGAGTCGGACTATTTCTTTAGCAGGGATGGATTAGTTGCAGGGTGTGAAACGTGTCATCTTTGTCAACCGGTCAACAACCACGAGGATCGCGTCGTTACTACTTGCCTTAGCCAGTAACTCCGTGACGATGCCCATTATCACCTGCTGCCAGGCACGTACTAGGGGTGGTATCGGCTATAACCGTCTTGCCAGCTTCCCTCGTGATTATTTCATGAGTTAGAAAGTGGGATACGAGGCCACGTGCCACTGTACATCAATCAGCACATATGGGCAGTAGTAATACCTCTGTAGCTATTGCAGGGTGTTTTCTACCCAAAGTGTTATGTGGTAATTTCGTCGTGTGACTCCTTTAGGAGCAGTTCATATACTAAGGAGTAGCCCAATACCAAGATACGGTTGGTGCCGGCTTTTACATAACGCACTAGACAAGCCTTTTGAGTTAATGGTCCCTACACAGAGCTTGTGGGTTGCCTCGTTTACCTGATCACATATATTCGTCAGGACCTCGCTTATCCTCTCAGCGCCCCGGTTCGCTTTGTTGTGACTAGGCGGCTGCTGGGAGGGTAACGATGTGCTTGGCGACTACATCAGCCATGGGGCTTGTGCTTGGAGGGACAGAGCCAGTAATACTGACCGGGCACTACAAATCGTCCTACACCAAAAACTTGGAAACCTACAGGTCTACTCAGGGGTACTGTCTCAGCTTGGACTTAAGACCTGTATCGTGGAGGTCTACTTGGTTGTTGTCTGTGGCTTCGTCCAGTGCTAAGGCCGAGATTCACGCCCCTGCCATGGCTGTTCAGGAGCTTCCCTGGTTGACCTACTTCCTCATTCACCTAGCTGAGCGGCCTAGCTTTTCTCCGACCTTGTTGTCGACGACAATGTCATGATCCTCCTATGCCGAGAGCCTCGACTGGAGGGCAGAGTGAAGCACATCGACTTGCGGTACTTCCTGCTGCGAGAGCTAAAGTGACGCGGCTAGGCAGGCTTGGCCTTTGTGGCCTCAACAGCCAATACTGCAGACATCTTTACCAAGGCCCTTCCACCTAGTGACCACCACAGTTCTGTACACAATTTGGCATTGATAAGTCATGGTCTCATTTGTTGTTAATGTTGGAATAACTGAAAGGTTATTATAACATTCCCGAAGGTTCTCTCCTAGCGCGCCACTTCATAACGAAGCAGTGCCACTGTACCAGTACCGCAATAGCTCATATAGAGCATGCGTCAGCTCGAGAGTCATGCGAAGGTCAACAGTCGAAGTTATTCAACGGTCGTGACTGTTGACCGTCCAGTAAACGTACTCGGAGGTTACACGCTACAACATGGTAACTGTCGAGTATAGTAAAAGTCGCAGTTACTGTAGCAATGCAATACAATTAATAAGGGAATGTACCTTCAGAGTACATGGCTAGCTAGATTGATATTTATATCCTTGTACTTCTATCTTGTAATCATCTTGTTCTCTTTCAACTATTATTAACAAGGTCATTGCAAGACTTCATTGTCTTCCTATATCTGAGCAACTCTTATCCTGTCTACTACGATTCCCGTTACATCAACATGGTATGAGAGTGAGAGTGGATTAAAAGATCTGCCAAGTTCTTGTTCTTCCTAGAACAGACTCTTTATAAATGTACTCATTAAATACCTGTTACAAGTCTGCATCCATAGCTATGAGCATTGATGGCTCAAGCTACGCAAGAGGAGTCGCTGGACTGCCTCTCTCGGGAGATGACCGCCGCGTCAATTCCAAGAGATCATTTACCGTTCACAACTGTCAAGCTTCAGCTCCTGCGCACGACAGTCAACAATGCGCACAAACAGAGGCAATCACAACCATGCAAACGAAGTTTGTTTTGACCTCAAAGCTGAAAACTTCAACTCAATTTGACGGCAAGGATTTCTACACGTGGAGCTTCGAGTTTGAGCTCCTTGCAACAAACCGCGCAGATCTGGATGGACTACGATGGGAGCTTACCTTTTCCGTCGGAGGGAACCATCCAGGAGAAGAATCGGTACGATCACGAGTCCCTTCTCGCGTACACCGATCTTCTCCGAAATCTCTCCCCCGTCAAGCAGCTTGGCATCCGCTCTTACAAATCGGAGTGGGCACCCGCACAAGTGTCTTGGGAGCACCTGCGCAATTCATATACATGGCAAACAAATCCGGTTACCATTGTCAGAACATTATAGCTTTTACATTTGTGTAGGCCATAGTGGGGTAGCCCATAAGGGGTACAACCCAATTAGGGTTAGTACTTGTACCCGACTCTTTGCTAGTTCATTCATTCTCGTTCTTTACTTTCAACATGGTTTCAGAGCAGGTCCCTCGCTAGGACCGCTTTTCTTTCCTTGGGCCCACCACCTGCTGCCCTACGAGTAGCCCCTAGAAACCGGCCCGTTGGCCCGTCGCGCCCCTAGGCCCGTCGCGCCCCCCCCCCACGGCCCCGCTCCTAGCCCGTCGTGCCCCGTCGGCCCTCGGCCCGTCGCGCCCTAGGCCCCGTGTCCCTAGGCCCCGTACGTCGCGCCCCTTGGCCCCGTCGCGCCCCTAGGCCCGTCGCGCCCCTTAGGCCCGTCGCGCCCCCCCCACGGCCCCGTTCCCTAGGCCCATCGCGCCCCTCAGCCCCGTCGCGCCCCTCGGCCCCCGTCGCGCCCCTAGGCCCGTCGCGCCCCCTCGGCCTCGTTTCCTAGGCCCGTCACGCCCCACGGCCCCGTTTCCTAGCCCGTCGCGCCCCTTGGCCCCGTCGCGCCCCTAGGCCCGTCGCGCCCCTTACGGCCCGTCGCGCCCCCACAGCCCCGTTCCTAGGCACGTCGCGCCCCTCGGCCCCGTCGCGCCCCTCGGCTCCGTTCGCGCCCCTAGGCCCCGTCGCGCCCCTCGGCCCCGTTTCCTAGGCCCGTCGCGCCCCCACGGCCCCGTTTCCTAGCCCGTCGCGCCCCTCGGCCCCGTCGTGCCCCTTAGGCCCGTAGCGCCCCCACGGCTCCGTTCCTAGGCCCCGTTGCGCCCCTCGGACTCGTCGCGCCCCTAGGCCCGTCGCGCCCCTCGGCCCCGTTTCCTAGGCCCGTCGCGCCCCCCCCTACGGCCCCGTTTCCTAGCCCGTCGCGCCCCTCGGCCCCGTCGCGCACCTAGGCCCGTCGCGCCCCACGGCCCCATTCCTGCCCGTCGCGCCCCCTAGGCCAGTCACGACCCGCGCCCGTGACCCGCGACCCAGGCCCCTCGGACCCCTAGGCACCTCGGCCCCCAGGCCGCTCGGCCCCTAGCCTTGGCCCCTCGGCCCTCACTCCTCGTGTTTTGGCCCCTCGGCCCCTAGGCACCTTCTGCAACTGCGGCTACTACTACTGCTGCTACTGCTGCTACTACTGCTGCTCCTGCATACTATGCCACTATGGCCTCGCTTCGAGTTCTCGCATTTGATCATGAGGGTAGACCAGTTCAGTTTGACACGTGGCTCGAAGATCTGCAGCTGTACCTACTGAGCGATATTAAGGACGGTGTTTCCCTGTTTGACCACATGTCCGGTGCTGCTACTACCCCTCCCACCACAGCTGACAGTGCAACTCGCTCACAGTGGCTTTCCTCGCGACGCTGCTGCCCGCTTAGCCATTCGCAACCACCTTCCGTTAGCCGAATGCGCTCACTTCGGACAGCACAGGACCGCACAGGCACTGTACGACGCTGTAGTCGCTCGCTACTCCTCCCCGGCCACTGGTGCTCTAGGCCGCCTGCTTCTGCCCTACCTGTTCCCCGAGCTGTCCGCCTTTACCACAGTCGAGGACCTGGTTTCCCACCTTCGCGCTAGCGACGCTCGCTACCGCGCTGCTGTCTCTGCTGAGTTCCTTGACAGGAACCAGCCCCCGATGTTCATCACCCTCTACTTCATAGTCACCTCGCCTCCCTGACTCTCTTCGCTCTGTTAGGGACCACTTCCTCTCTCTTGACCCCACCTCCCTCACTGTTGACCTCCTCGAGCAGCATCTCCTTGCAGCTGAGACTAGTGCAGTTGCTGTAGGTGCTGCTCGTGGCACTCCGCGCCCCCCCTTCTTTGAGGGGTGCTCCCCCTCCCCCCTTACCCCCTCCTACGCCTCTGCTGCTGCTGCAGACGTCTCTGTTGCTGAGGACGTCGGGGCTGCTTCTGCTAGTGCGAAGCGCCGCAGCGGCAAGGGCAAGGGTGGCAAAGGTGGTGGAGGTGGCGGCGGCGGTGGTGGAGGTGGCAGCGGGAGTAGTGGTGGGGGCAAGCAGTGGAGGTAGTGGCGGCGGTGGGACTGGTAGAGGGAGTGGGGGCTCTGGTGGCGGCGGTGGAGGCAGCGGTGGGAGTGGCGGCGGTTGGCGGCAGTGGGACTGGTGGCGGTGGGACTGGAGCTTGACGTGTTGGTTCTGGAGGTAGCCAGCGTCAGCAGCAGTAGCGTCGGAGCGAGACCCAGTCGCCCCAACAGCTTCGTGAGTGGTTTCTGCGTGGGGCGCCTGGGGGTAGTTGCCCGTATGTCATTCGCACGGGTGACCGTGCTGGTCAGACTTGCGGGCGGCTTCACACTCAGCACCGCTGCTTCTCCCGCCTTGACGACGCTTGGCGTGCTGAGTTTGGTGACGACGTTGAGCTCCCTCGCTGGGCAGATCTGCTTAGGTCTAGGATTGCAATCTTTGACCTAGACTTTGATGCTATTCTTTCTGCTATGTATGCTTTGTCTGTTAGTGCTGAGGGTGACTGTTACCGGTGTGTGCCGCCTGACCCAGGTATAGCTGCTGCTGCTCTAGGTGCTAGTGAGTCTGGTACTCTCCCTGGTACTGCGCCTGCTCAGGCCTTACACACTTTCACGCTGGACTCTGGCGCCTCTGCCTGTTTCTTTCGTGACAGCACCACTCTCACTCCTCTCTCTACACCTGTCCCAGTCCGACTGGCTGACCCCTCTGGGGGCCCGGTCGTGGCCCCGTTCCTCCACTGTCCTCCCGTGTCCCGGCGGTTCCGTCCGGCTCACTGTCAGGTCTTCACCTCCCCTCGTTCTCTGCGAACTTGGTGAGTACCGCTGCCCTCCAGGATACGATGGTCACTACCACCACTCCTGGGGGTCAGCGTGTGACGATCTGCACGTGCACACGGACGGGGCGTCACCTGGCCACGTTCACATCGTCGGCCAGGGTCGAGTCTGTACACACTCGCTACCGAGCCTCCCCAGGTAGCTGCGTCTGCTCTGGTTTCCGCGTAAGGTGAGGTAGCCGCCTCCTGCTCGTGTCGCCTCCTGTCGCACCAGACTCTTCTGTGGCACCACTGCCTGGGTCACCCCTCCCTGCCACGACTTCGTGGCATGCACTCTCGTCTTCTTGTGTCTGGTCTTCCCAGGTCCCTGCCTCCCCTGCCGCCCTCACCTGCCCCGCCCTGACTTCCTTACGTCGAGGGGCGGCAGCGCGCCGCTCCTCACTCCTCCTTGTTTCCCCCGACGACCGCTCCCCTACAGACTCTCCACATGGACGTGTGGGGCCCAGCCCGCGTCAGTTGACAGAGCCGCGAGCGCTACTTTATGCTGGTAGTTGACGACTACACGCGGTACACCACGGTCTTCTCCTTGCGCAGCAAGGGTCAGGTCATTGATGTCTTGATCCCTTGGATCCGCACAGTCCGTCTCCAGCTCCGCGAGCAGTTCGGCCAGGACCTTCCTGTCCTACGTCTGCACTCTGACAGAGGTGGTGAGTTCTCCTCCAGCCTCTTGCTGGACTTTTGTCGTGGGGAGGGCATTCTCCAGTCAGTTCACGCTTCCGGACTCCCCTCAGCAAAATGGGATTGCTGAGCGCCGCATTGGCTTAGTCATGGAGGTCGCTCGTACCTCCATGATCCATGCGGCTGCTCCCCATTTTCTGTGGCCATTTGCGGTCCGGTACGCTGCGCATCAGCTTAACCTTCTGTCCCCGTGTCTCCTTGCCGGAGACCTCGCCCACACTACATTGGACGGGGGAGGTTGGCGATGCGTCGGTGTTCCAGGGTCTGGGGATCTCGTGCCTTTGTTCGCGATACGTCTGCAGACAAGCTCTCCCCCCATGCTATCCCTTGCGTCTTCCTTGGCTTTGTCCCTGACGCGACTGGCTGGCAGTTTTACCACCCCACCTCGCGCCGTGTCTTCCCTTCTCAGGACGTCACGTTTGACGAGTCTGGTACCCTTTTACCGTCTCTTCCGCTACCGCTCTGCCCCTCCCCCGCCCCGCCGCTCTTCCTTGCTCCCGGTCCCCCTCCGGTAGACCCCCTCCCGCCCCAGGGTCCTGCTCCCTCAGGTGTGTCTCATGTAGACCCTCTCCCTGGTCTTGCACCTGTTCAGGTAGCTATCGGCTCAGGTGCTGCTCCAGGTGTTGCGTCTGGGGGTGCTGAGTCTAGGGGTGCTGCGTCTGAGGGTGCGGAGTCTGAGGGTGCTGGGTCTGGGGGTGCTGAGCCTGGGGGTGCTGAGCCTGGGGGTGCTGAGCCTGGGGGTGAGGAGCCTGTGGGTGTGTAGCCTGCTGGTGGTGAGCCTGGGGGTGCTGAGTCGGAGGGTGCGGAATATGGGGGTGCTGAGCCTCGGGGTGCTGCTTCGTCTGGAGGTCATGCTGGTGCTTCGCCGAGACTGTCTCCGCAGCAGCTGCGTGAGTGGTTTGTTCGGCGCGCACGACTTCGGAGTGGAGCTACCGGAGATGGCAGTGCTGGGGCTGCTTGGAGCTGGAGGTACTGGAGGTACTTGCGGTCACTAGTCTTGGAGGTGCTCGTACCCGGGGTACTGGAGCTGCCGGGACTGGTGGTGTTGAGGGTGCTGGAGCTGGAGACACTACGGAGTCTGGAGCTACTGGAGCTGGTGGCTCTCGCGCTGGTGGCACTGGAGCTGGAGGAGCTGGAGTTTGAGGCAGTGGAGAAGGAGGCGTTGGATTTGGAGGCCCTGGTGTTGGAGGTGCTGGAGCTGGAGGAGCTAGCGCTGTTGACCCTGGTGGCGCTGTGCGGCCGTGACCGTACTTCATTCCCCTGCTTCAGCAGGTTCTTGGTACCCCGTCTTCTACTGGCCTTACTCCTCCCCTCCTGTGTCCACCGCCTGACCAGTCTCAGCCGCCGTTAGAGCCGGCCTCTCCACTGCCTGCTCCTTCTCCTTACACTGAGCAGTCCGGCGGTCTGACAGAGCGACGTGAGCCTGCGTCTCGTCCTGTCTCACCTGTTCGCACTTGTCGTCGCGTTCCTCGTTCGCGTCCTCCTCATGTCCTCGGCACGCACGCTATGGCACTTCCTCCTTCCTCTGTTCCACTGCGTGTTCCTCTGCTGCCTCCTCCTGAGTCCTCTCTTCCTGAGGTCCCTGACCCTGCGTCTCACCACGCTCGTGCTGCCAGTCCCACTGTTGCTCGTCTCCTCACCACTGCTGTCATTGACCCTTCCTTTGAGTCTGCTGCTGCGTTTGCTCTCGTTGCTGAGCTACTTGATTTTGCTGCTGCCTGTCATCTAGACAATGCCACTGCTCTTGTTGCTGAGTCTGCCAGTCCTCCTTCCATCGGGGGTGATTGTGCTCTTGGCACTGACGTCCTTGAGGACAAGCAGGAGGACTTTGAGTGTCTTGCAGCTGCTGTACCTCGTTTCGCTTCCATGCTGCTTGCCCTTGAGGGAGACCCGGATGCACCAGACATCCTGACCCCGCGCTCTTACGTAGAGGCGATTACGGGTCCTTACTCCTCTCAGTGGCAGACAGCCATGGATGCCGAGATGGCATCCTGGAAGTCCACAGGCACTTACGACGACGCAGTTCCCCCGTCTCGGGCGAACATAGTCGATGGCATGTGGATTTTCAGGGTGAAGCGGCCGCCGGGTTCTCCGCCTGCCTTTAAGGCGCGTTACGCTGCTCGAGGCTTCAGTCAGTGACAGGGGGTTGACTACTTCCAGACCTTCTCCCCCACCCCGAAGATGACTATTCTTCGGGTGTTGCTACACGTCGCTGCTTAGCGTGACTACGAGTTGCACTCTCTGGACTTCAGCACAACTTTCCTGCAGGGCAGCCTGCACGAGGAGATCTGGCTGCGCCGCCCACCTGGATTCACTGAGTCGTTTTCCTGCAGGTACTCAGTGGAGCCTCCGGCGGCTAGTCTACGGTCTTTGCCAGGCGCCTCGCGAGTGGCACAACACACTAAGGACTATGCTTGCGGACTCTTGGGTTTGCTCCTGCTACTGCTGACCCGTCGCTGTTTCTACGCACCGACACCTCGCTGCCGCCGTTTTACGTCCTCGTGTACGTCGACGACCTCGTCTTTGCCACTGCTGACACTGAGGCACTGACCCTTGTGAAGTCGGAGCTGCAGAAGAGACACACTTGCACTGACCTGGGTGAACTGCGTAGCTATCTTGGCTTGCAGATCACCCGGGACAGAGCACGGCGCACCATCACCTTGACTCAGTCACACATGGTGCCCCAGGTCCTTCAGCGCTTCGGTTTCCAGTTATCTTCGCCACAGCCCACTCCTCTGTCTACCAGCCACTCGCTCTCAGCTCCACCTTCGGACGAGTCCGTAGAGCCGAGTGGTCCTGTACCCAGAGCTTGTGGGTTGCCTCATGTACCTTGATGGACATGCACACGACCTGACCTCGCATACCCTCTCAGCCTTCTGGCTCGCTACGTGGCTACCCGTTATACACCGAAAGGTGCACTGGGATGCTGCGAAGAGGGTACTGCGTTACTTGTGCCGTACGTCGGGCATGGGGCTCGTGCTTGGAGGATGGGGTTCAGTTGTCCTCACCGGTGCACGCAGACGCTTCCTGGGTTGATGACTCAGCTACGCAGCGGTCGTCTTAGGGTTACACCTTCAGCCTTGGCTCTGGCTCTGTTTCCTGGCGGTCTACCCGCTCGTCTTCGATTCTCAGCTCCAGTTGTGAGGCTGAGATCTACGCAGGGGCCATGGCTGTACAGGAGCTACGCTGGCTCACCTACCTGCTGACTGACTTGGGAGAGCAGCCTCGTTCGCCTCCAGTTCTGTACGTAGACAACAAGGCCATGATTGCCTTGTGTCAGAAGCACAGAATGGAGCACAAAACGAAGCACATCGCTCTGCGATACTTCCTTGCTCGAGAGTTGCAGCAGCGTGGCAAGCTTCGTCTTGCGTACGTGGCCACTAGGGCCAACACTGCTGATATATTCACCAAGGGCACTTCCGCCTGGTGATCATCAGCACTTCTCTACTCTGTTAGGCCTTGTGCCTACTTTGCCTCACTTGCTTACTGCTTGACTCTGCTTGTACTGTGATATATATATATACCTGCAGGCTTGCAC